CCAAGAACTGGGCTGAGTTCTGAGAGTCCAGTGGAAGACAGGGTGAAGGGATTATATGAGGGGGGACTGTCAAGATCATGATGGGAAAAACCACAGTGACAGCTTACCTGAGCTAGTGGGAGCTCATGGACTCTAGACTAACAGCTGGGAAGCCTGCATAAGATCCAACTTGGCCTTCTACATGTGGGTGACAGTTGTGTGACTTGATCTGTTAGTGGGTCCCATGGTAGTGGGACCAGAATATATCCCTGGTACATGAGCTGGCCTGTGTTTTTTTTTTGAAGACCATACCCTGTGATAGAATGCCTTATTCAACCTTAATGCATGGGAGATGGACTAAGTCCAGGCTCAATTTGATGTGCCAGGCTTTGTTGATTCCCCATGGAAGGCTTCTGAGGAGTGGATGAGGTCAGGGGAGTGGTAGGTGGGAGCGAGAAAAGGGGAGGGATGGGGAAATATGGCTGGTATGTAGAATGAATAACATTCTCAAAATAAAAGAATAAACCTAAATATCATGGCCATTCTTGCCACAGAAAACACTAAGGGGTCTTTCAGATACTATAGCAATAGGAATAGCATATTCAATGTCTAATTTTTAGAAAATATGATTTGATATACTTAGTCCTAAAATGTATACATTCCCCTCTACTTTACAACATGAACTTTTTGTTGAAAATCAAAACAGTCCTTTATGAGTTATCTTTGCCAAATGAAATTATTAAGAAGAAATCAAATTGTTGGCAGGTAAACAACTATAAAATACATCAACTATCTATCATAAGAATGACCCTCTAGCTGGGGAGTGGTGGCACATGCCTTTTATTCTTAGCACTAAGGAGGCAGAAACCGGGGTAACTCTCTGAGTTCCAGGTCAGCCTGGTCTACACTGGGAATTCCAGGAAGGTCAAGGCTACACAGAGAAATTGTGTCCCAAACAACAAAATAAGTTACTGTAGGTGATTTTCCAAATAAAAGCAAGAGAGAGAAATGTTTTTCTTAAATACTAATATTCCTAAAATAAGCATTGGCTTAAAACATCAATCTAAAAATTTGTGAACAGCAACAAATTTTCATGTTTATATATAATCACTAATCCACCTATTTCAAGATTTTCCTTCCACTGCATCCCAGAAATACTTCCACATAAAAGGATTGTAAATGATATTTCGAACAAATGGACCAAGGAGATAGCTGGTATAACCATCTAAATAACTAACAATGTAGACTTCAAACAAAAACTGATTAGAAGAGATAGGGAATGAAAAATTCTCATCAAAGGAAAAACCCACCAAGAAGACATTTTAATTTTGGGGGGGGGTCAAGACAGGGTTTCTCTGTGGCTTTGTAGGCTGTCCTGGAACTAGCTCTTGTAAACGAAGCTAGGCTTAAACTCATAGAGATCTGCCTGCCTCTGCCTCCCATGTGCTGGGATTAAAGGTGTGTGCCACCATTGCCAATCACCATTTTAATTTTTAACAACTATGTCAAAAACACAAAGAAACCAAAGTTTGTAGAAGAAGCACTGCCAAAGTCTAAACTACATATTGACCCTCATACAATCATGGTGGGAAACATCAAGATCCACTCTCACTAGTAGACAGCTCAAACAGACAAAAACTAAACACAGAAATGATGGCGCTAACTGCATTATAAACCAAATGGACCTAACAGATATCCACAGAACATTTCACACAAACACAAAAGAATACACTGTCTTCTCTGCATTTTATGGGATTTTGTCCAAAACTGACCACATACTCAGACACAAGCAAGTCTCAAAAACTATAGGAAAATTGAAAGAACACTCTGCACCCTATCAGACCACCACAGATTAAACCTGGATATCAACAACGGAAACCTTACAACTTCACTGAAAAGGAACAACTCACTATTGAATGGGAAAAAATGGCTCAAGCAGACATTCAGAATGAACTGAATTGAATGGGAGTGAATATGAAATATATCCAAATTCATGGGACACAGTGAAGGCAGTTTTAAGAGGCAAGTTCATAGCTGTAATTGCCTGAATTAAAAAAAATGGAACGCTCTCATACTAGTAGCTTAACAACACACATGAAAACTCTGTGACAAGAAGAATAAATCACACCTAAAAGAAGTTGGTGGCAAGAAGCAATCAAACTCAGAGCTGAAATCAATAACAGAAATAACAAAACACTACAAAGAATCAATTAAAATAAAAATTTATTCTTTAAGAAATATCAACATACGGACAAATCATTGTACATAATAGCTAAAAACTAGACAGCGAATATCCAAATTAACAAATTAGAAAAGAAAAGACAGACACAGATTAATTCCAGAGAGTCATACAGACATACTTTAAAAACCTTAACTCTAACAACTTTCAAAATCTAAAAGAAGCACACAATTTTCTTGACACAGACCACTTATCAAAGTTAAATCAAGATCAGATAAGTAATTTAAACAGACCTATAACCCCAAGTGAAATGGAAGCAGCAATTAAAAGTCTATCATTCCAAAAATCCCAGTGTCAGACTATTTTAGCTCATTTTTCTTCCTGACTTTCAAAGAAAAGTTACTGCCAGTGCTCCTCAAATTAGTCCACAAAATAGAAATACAAGGAACATTATACAATTTGGTTTACAATGCTCAGTTACTCTAATTACCAAGCCACATAAAGACACAAAATAAAGAAAGAGAATTACAACCCAATTACCCCATGAAAATAGGTGCAAACTTGTAAGTTAAATATTTTTAAAGTGATACAAGACACATTAGAAATATTACCCAATATGATCAAATAGGATACTTCCAAGAGATTAGGGGATTCTTCAACATAAATAAATAAATAAATGCAACACATCATATATACAATTGAAAGAGGAACATCCCCACAGTCATATCAAAATCAAATACCCTCTCATGATAAAAGTCCTAGAGAGATAGGGGATAAAAGGGACACAAACATATTAAGGGCAGTTTATATCAAGCTGACAACTTCCATATTCTTAAATGGAGAGAAACTCAAAGCAACTCCACTAAAATCAGGAACTATACAAGGTTGCCCATTCTTGTCACACCTATTCAATATAGGACTTGAAGTTTAGCTACAAAAATAAGACAACTGAAGGTGGCCAAGGTAAGGGAAGAACTCAAATTATCTTCATTAGTGGATGATATGATAGTAGACATAAATAACCCTACAAACTTCACTGTGAAACATCTATAGCTAATAAACTCTTTCAGTGACATAGCTGGATACATAATTAACTCATGACAAACGGGTTGAGAAAAAAATCAGGAAACAAACACCTTTCACAATAGTCTCAAACTATATAAAATACTTTGTGGTAACTCTAAACAAGCAAATGAAAGACTTGTATTATGAAACTTTAAGGCATTGAAGAAATAAATTGAAGATGATGTCAGAAGATGAAAGATATACCATGCTCAGGGATCAGTAGAATGGTAATTCCACCTAGAAAATCTACCAATACAATAGATACCCTATCAAAATTCCAACACAATATTTAACAGGCCTGAAAAGGACAATTTACAGTGCATGAAAATACAAAACTACCAAGATAGCTAAAACAATAATGAATAATAAAAGAAGTGCAGGGTGTATAACCATGCCTGACTTCAAATTGTACTCTAGAGCTATAGTAATGAAAACAGAATTGTACTCACACAGAAACATACGCGTTGGTCAATGGATTACGTTTAACACACACACATAAATCTACATACCTATGAACACCTGACTTTTTCATAAGTAAGCCATAAGTTCATATTGGAAAAGGATAGCATCAACAACAAAGAGTTCTGGACAAACTGGATGGCTGCATGTAGAAGAATCTACATAGATCCATACTTATCACCCTGTGCAAGTCTTTAACTTCAAATGGATCATTATCTCAAAATAAAAACAGATAAACTGGATATGATGGAAGAAAAAGTGGAGAATAGCCTTGAACTCATTGGCACAGGGAATGGTTTTCTGCATAGAACACTATTATCACTAAGATCAACAATTAACAAATGGGACCTCAGGAATCTAAGAAGTTTCTGAATGTCAAAGAATTGTATCATTCAGACAAAGCAGCAGCCTACATAATATATTGGAAAAGATATTTAGTAACTAAATGTCCAATAGAGGGCTAATATGCAAAATATATTCCAAAATGAAATAGGTGAATATCAAGAAAACAAATAACCCAATTTAAAATGGGCTACTGATCTAAAGAGAAAATTTCGAAGGAGTAATTAAAATTTGAAAAACACATAAAGAAATGTTCAACTTCCTTAGACATCCGGGACATGAAAATCAAAACTAGACTGAGACTTCACCTTACATCCTCATAATGTCTAAGATCAACAATACAGTTGAGAGACAGGAAACTTTAATCAGGATGTATTGTTTGAGAAAGGTGTATTTTTTGATAGAAGGAAAAGAAAATTATAATTTTTTTCTAAAAGATAAGGAATATGCTTTCTACTACATTTAGCTGATAAAATTGATGCAATTTCATAGTAAGCTAAGAATGTAATGTCAGTCCAATACAGACTCAGTATGAAAAATAAAGTAAAAGACAGCATGTCAGTATTACCAGGTGCTGGGTTTAAATACACATATTACAATACTCTTATTCTCACATATGAAAATGTACACCAAAGGGGAGAAACAGAGTTCACAGCAAAAAGATTATAACTGGCACTACTGCTAATATTAAATTAAATAATAATCACTTACATTAAACTACTTTCAAGTCCTTAATAGTTCTCCATCAGAAAGTGCAGTGACAATTCATCCATTTTGCATTGAACATTATTATTCTAAAGAATCATCGTAGGTTGAGTCAGTAAATATTAACAGGAATCAGAATGCAAAAGTTACTAAACAAACAACTACATATTTGCAGACATAGTAAAAACCATTATGTCAACATATTATTTTCTACTTAATCCTGAAAAGAAAATTATCATGAGAAATGGAAAACAGAGCTTTGATGACTTACGAGTGGAGGGGCAAACTTTAGCCCTCTCTCTGGATGTAGCAGTCTTATGCTTCGTGCTTGCAATCTTACTTTCTCAAGAATATTCTTCTATTTACAGAGTAGGTGAAGATCAAACTTCAACAGGCTTCTTTTATTTGTTTGATCTGTGGAGAAAGTATACTTTCAGTCAATCATGTCAGAATGCATTAAACCACCTTGTCTTACTATTAGGGAGTTGGAAATTAATCTATTTTCTGTTAGGGTTGAAATAAACAGAAATGTAGGAACTGCCTTGTCGAACATCGTAATCAATAAAAACCTTGTACTTTAATGCCAGTAAAAGAAGCCCACATCTATATACTTTTTCATTTACATAGCTAAGCAGCAGAGCAAGAGAAAATTAATATTAAAAATCCAAATGACTAGAAAAGCCTCCTCAAATGTATTTTTAAAAGACTGACATAATTTTGCAAATCCATTGCTCTGAATGGCCTGGCTGAGACAACTATATTTTAAACATTTTTACTCATACATTGTAACATCTCAAGGCTAAAGAATGACAGGATGATTAGAGAAGAGTAAAGGAAAGTCCATTTTTAAAAACTTTAATGGAATAATAAAAAGAGATGATTTCAAAAGCCTAAGGTAGGCCAGAAATATGTAGAGCTGGTTTTATAGTGAACAAGAAGTCTATAGCAACAGTTTATTTAAATGGCACCAAGCTTGGAAAACGGCTGCTCAAGCAGGCATCCAGGGCAAATTAGAATACATTATGCAGATGATCTCTAATTATATAACAATTCCTTAATAAATCTATTAGGTGTTAAGATATACAATCATTCTTTTCACAAAGATAGACATGGGAATTTGCTATGTGAACATCTGACCTTTGTTGCAATGAACACCCCTGAAGTTAAAAGAATTCAATCTATTATACAAATTTTATCAAAATGTAAATTTTTGATAGTGGATATTTTCTATTTTATTAAAATTACATATTAAGATAAATGTCTTCTATTTGTACCACATGCCAGATCATATCTAGTGCCTTATCTTAAAATCATTCCGTTTCTTCTACTAAGTAATATTACAATTAGAGAGGTACCTTTAGGGGCACAATTGGGAAAAAATTAATTTCTTGAGGAAGGTGTATGATAGTATTTTAAACTTTGTTTTTACTGAGAAAATAAACATGTCACACTGGTGCTTCTTGTTTTTTTATGTTTTTGGAAATCTTAAACAAACAATAACTGATTAATTAAACAAAAAAACCTAGATTTCATGCAGGGGAAAGAGTACCTCTTAAAAACATTTGTCTAATCACAAATTGCTTGCTTTCCTTACTCCATTTATTTGGAGTAATTCAAGATGATTTGAAGATGAAACAGCAACACAGATTTTATTACCAAAGATTTAATAGTATTATGTGAGAAAACACATTCAAGATTAGATTTTTAGAGTGAGGGAAAAAGGGTGTTCTGCTTTGCTCTATGAAAATCCAATTAATCTTGGCCTAATTTAAAAGTCTTATTACTTAGACTTATCAATATGCACTTTTTATATCAACATAGACATGTGGCTGTTCAAAACAGGTGGTTTCCTACAGGTTTCTGAGCAGGAAAACGGGTCTGTAGTGTTCTGGTTCACTGCAGCCCAATGCACATTCCTTTACAGGCTTTAAAACTGAGAGAGGACACATTCAGCAGCTTTTTGTAGGCCTGGTTTATTATGTCCGTTACAGCAATGTTTGTGATCATATATGCATCTAGTAGACATTAGAGAAGAGTATACCAGGCCCTCACAGGACAGAGCTAGAGTGTGGCAAGTTTGGCTTCAGAAGTGGAAGTGTACACAGAACCAAACCACACACTTATATTCAACATAGACACACAACATTCATAGCTTAAAAAGACATATACAGGTACATCCAAAGCACATACACATACATATTCACCATGTACACCAAACCCATGCACTGCCTTGTACTTTCAATATACACACCTACATGCACCAAACATATTTGCAAAATATTTGCACTTTGCTTCTTAATGTAACTTGCTTAGAAATCCAACTGTGTCTAGAGAAATGTGCTTAGGAGCATTCATGGGTTTTGCAGAAGATTCAGATTTAGTTCCCATCACCCATATGGTGGCTCACAGGTAATCGTACTTCAGTTCCACGGGTTCCAATACCTTTATTCTGACCTCCACAGAAACTCAGCATGCATTTGGCGCACATAAACACAAACTAGCAAAGCATTTGCATATATAAGATAAAGAATTTTTTATTGAGGGCTAGAGATCACTCAGCAATTAAAAGAGCTTACTGCTCTTCCAGAGGACCAAGGTTCAGTTGCTAGCTCCTACATGGAGGCTCTCAACCACCTGTGAACCCCAGTTCCTGAAAAATTACCATGGCCTCCATGAGCCCTGCACACATACACTCAGGAACATGCATGTCCAACAAATAAATATTTTTAAAACAAAAGCAAAGTTTCAATTGAAAATTCAAGCAGACTGTAACATTCATCCTAAAATTCATAGCACAACATATGCTAAAGTACTTTCTGGAGTTTCCACAAACTATAGCCATCCTGCTTTGCCACATCATTTGAACATATTGTCTGAAGACAACTCTACCACACAGACCCTGAACATCCAGAATTATGTATCCATCATCTTCAATATTCCAGAGGACACAGCTTGGTATTCAATGTTTGGTTTGGGGATTATTTTGTTGTTGTTGCTGCTCTGGTTTTCCTTTGTTTATTTGTTTGTAGACAGTTACATTCAGGAGATTTCTTTCTCTGATGTGGTAATGAAATTCCCGGACAACTACAATTTAAGAAGAGGAATTTATTCTGGCAGGCAGTTCCTGCCTACAGTTCATTATGTGGAAAACTCAAGGGGCAGAGGGGTAGAAGCTTGCAGCTGTTGGTCAAATTGTATCCACATTCTAGAAGAAGAGAATAATAAATGTATATTGCTAGTCAATTCCCTTTCTCCTATTAGAGTTCAGGATCCCAGGGAGGGAATGGTGCTATCCACAGTACTTGGTTCTTTCCATCTCCTTTAGTGGGGTCAGGTGTATCCCATCAAAGCATGCTCAGAAGTACTCCTTCCTTATTTTTTTCTTAAATTTCTTAATTGGTTCTTAATATGTTATGAAGTTGATATATTCACACAAACGATCAGCCAACAAACTATGTGTAGTACACTTGTCAGTGAATTCATGTATAATGAAATTATAGTCCTTGTAAATAACCACAGTCATCAAATTAGACAAAATAAAAGGGCCTTATTACAGCGGCGTGTACACACTTGGCCTGAGTATGAGAACAACAGTAAGTTTGACCATTCTTGATTGCTTGGGATGGACGTGGCTCATCAACTGTAAGTACCTACTCCTTTCACTTTTAAAACTTTCCCCAGTTTGAATATCTATTTATTTATGCAAAATGTAATTATTATGTTTATCATTTGATTATTTACTGACAAAGTATTGACCATTTTATTGCTGTTATATCCCATGACACTACTTCACAATGTAAATATTTGAGATCAAAATACATGATTCCTGTATGTTAACATTAAATTCAAATAGACATTTGAGTACAAAGCATTGATGTCTAGACTATAGTGATACTTTACGATTGAAGACTCTTTAAGAGTTGGAACCTGATGGTAGGAAATTACATCATTGAAGGTGTGCTCAGTGACTGAGACATTGGGGACCCACACACTCACTGAGTTTTTAGCAACCATGAAATATACAGACCTCCTTCCCCCGTGATGTGGCAACAAAACTCAGAGAACAAATCACTCCATATTGAAGCCTCCAAAACTATAATCTAAAATATCCATATATCTTCCAGGTTGTTTATATCAAATACTTTGTTCCATAGTGGAAAACTATCTGACACCAATCCCCAAATACCACAGAGTTAGCCTCCCTGCATTTAAAGTGACTACTAGATACACACTTTTCTAGTTAGTTCCCTTATGGGAGTCTTAACTCATCCCAATTCTATTCACATTGGTTTTTCTGAGAGCTGAGTTAGACATGGTTGTACCGAATGAGAATGTAGTGAGTAAATTCAACAGTAAGTTCTACCCAGAAGACCAGGGGGAAAAACCAAGACTGGAACAGGAGAGGCACCTGTTTCTGGTTTTCCAATGTGCAATGCCAGTTTGTTTGGCTTACAAAGGTAGTTGCACGTGGTACTAAGGTTTGGAGGCGAACCGCACTTTAAGTAATGGGAGAAAGCATCTGAGGCTTACACAGTAAGTATACAAAGACAAAAGAACAGAGAAGAGCAGGTACAGCTTCCAACGATGTCGAATCTGTAAGAGCAGTTCTTAGTTGGTACTTTACTCCTGTCATGTCTGAATACAGATTTAGTCATGAAAGGCTAGAGTGTAAGTGCCAAATGTCTGTGTGTGTACAGGAAAAGGAAGACAATATCCTGATTGTAAGATTTTACAACTTGCTTCATATTTCAAAGAAAAAATATTATAAAAATATTTTTGAAAGTGCTACAAGGAGTCTGGACCACAAAATTTTGTCATGAGTGTTCAATGATATAGTCTGTGACCTAGCAACGATATTTTGCCGTAGACTAAACAAGAAATCTGGTTTGAATTCTGATACTTTTTTTTCAAATATCTACCCAAATATATTTTGCTATTTACTTTTGTAAATGTGGTTTCCCATTCTCCCTTTCTCAGCACTTTATCTTCCCACTTTTTAGCATTTTCATGTAAATATTCTGCTAGTGACTCCTATTCAAATTAGTAATGTTTTATTTATCGTCAGAATTCAATCTTGATCCTTCTTTTTATGTAAGAACACATATGTTTCCTTAAGTATATACCAAAAAATACCAGATGTCTCCATAAGTAATATGAAAACAAGTAGCATTCTACCTCTGAAATTAAAGCCTTGCCCCCACTGCTCCAGTAACAATTTCAAATTTATATCTCTCACACCCTTTAAACATCATTTATTTGCATACTACTAGACCTAACAAGGTTTTCCAAGCATATGGTTTTATAGTCTGTTAAACTGGCAGTACGGGGGGGACACATTAATGTCTAAATTTGAATATATACAACTGAAAATCATGCAAATATTTCCCCACTGTCTTTTCTTGAATGTGCATCAT